TGATGTCAGTATTAAAATGATAAACTATTGATAACAATGTAAATAAATAATCTGTTGATGGTTTTGGATCAAAAGTAAATATTTGACCCAGTGTTTGGGACTATTGAAAACTAGTGAGCTCTCAAAGAATACTTGCAAGATGTGAGTAACTTAGCTCTTTATTACTGAGGGACTCCAAGTGTGTTCACTGGTTTATGTTTATTTGGTACACTTTTTATGATTCTTTTTGTGCCCCATTTTTCTGTAATGTTACCTCTTTCTGACTCAGTTATTACCATACTTCTTCTGCCCTAAAGCCTCACTTTTCAGTGAGAAAAGGCTTGAAACAAAATGGTTGCGCTAAAGTAAACAAACTTTAGGATAGACACTGTTGATTTCAGAGCTGTTTATGATTAAAGAGTGAAATATACTAAGAGTTGAACCCATATCAAATAATTCATCCACAGCATTGAAGGAGAAGGAAGACAAGGAGTCTATCCCTTCAGATCCTCTCAAACGTACAGGCTGCCTCTTTGGAGGCGTATACAACGACATCCGCAGACGTTACCCCCACTACCTCAGTGATATCAAGGATGCAGCTAACCTGCAGAGTTTCAAGACAACGCTGTTTATCTTTTTCACGTGTCTTTCACCATGTATTGCCTTTGGAGGATTGTTGAGTAAGTTGTTGAGGATGTTTTAGTCTGCTTCAAAGAATCATTTTGTTGTAACTCTGTGTCTCCATAGTAGTTTGTAGTGTTTGTTGTTTAGTAGCAGTAGCAGTAGCAGCAATGCACAGATTCAACAGCCTTCAAAGTCTATGGCTGAGCACCAGCAAGAAGATCAGAATTAGAATTTTGAGAGTATGGATGTGTGGTGGACTGGATGTGTGGTGGACTGGATGTGTGGTGGACTGGATGTGTGGTGGACTGGATGTGTGGTGGACTGGATGTGTGTAGACTATCTCCCAGTCCTTTTCAGCTATAGCAAGATTCTCAGAAAATCTTAGACAAACAAGAGGAGAAATACTGACATCTTAAAAGATCTGAACATCAAGGAAGATTGGCTAAGAAACAGCATTCTGTCTCAGAAGCTGAATATTTTTGGTCATAGTATACCTGATACAAAGCATGCTGATCACCTCCCTTTGCTGCCAGAACCAAGCATGGCCACTGCACAACAAGCAACAACAAGAACATGAGTAACCATTCAAACATAAGAGGTCTGTGAAATACTGCAGCAGTGGCCAGACCAGATCCAATCAGGAATGAAGTCCTGAGAGAAAAAAGCCCAGAACCAATAATAAATTCCATACAAAGAGAGCCAACCAAATGATTTGTCCACCGAGAGAGAACACCTTATGATACCGCACCATACAAGGCATACATCAAAAGAGGATAGGGTCATGGGGGTTATCAAGAACAAGATGGACAGATAACGTAAGAGAAACTTAACCACTGTATGGTGTCTCTATCAATGAGGCAGTCAAAAGAGGATAGGGTCATGGGGGTTATCAAGAACAAGATGGACAGATAACATCAGAGAAACTGAACCACTGTGTGGTGTCTCTCTATCAATGAGGCAGTCAAAAGAGGATAGGGACATGGGGGTTATCAAGAACAAGATGGACAGATAACATCAGAGAAACTGAACCACTGTGTGGTGTCTCTATCAATGAGGCAGTCAAAAGAGCAAGAAGCAGAACTAAAAGTGGGAACAGAGACTTCTGATCAGTATGCAGGATAGACAGGTTTACTGTTTGTTTAGTTTGAGAACAGGTGACCATTGCATTTTCTCCCATATGTAGACTAAAAGAATTTAGTTTTGTCGCTCATCTACTGAGTGCAAATCGCGACTGTGTGAGCTGCAAGTTTTATTTGCAATGCTTTTTGACTGTGGCCAACTTGGTTTGTGGTGTGGACTGTCAGTTCAGATGTGGGGGTGCCTTATTGAAATTTTGCATGTGCAGCTACTGAATTGTTGTAACTGCTGCTTCCATCGATGATGACCATCATTCCTGGTGTCAAACTGTTTGTGTTAGCACTTCCAGTGGCTGCCTTATGCCTTATATATTTAATGTTTGCCTATACTATTGGATTTGCACAGACTGCAGTCTGTTGGTTTCTCCACAAGGGACAATGGTGGAAATTCTATGTGGTTTATGTTGTTGGGCACAAAGCAGCTGTGGGGTGACACTTTTGCTGTGAAGTTGGAACTGTGATGACCCGAGTAGTCAGATGGTAGGAGGAGGAGAAGAAGAAGCAGTTGGTATAGCAGTTAGTATCTAAGGGACCATGTGTAGCAGTTACCACATAGCAGTTAATATGAAACGTACTGTGAATGGTACAGTCCGGTACTCTGGGCTTGCTGCTGAAGATAGGGAAAAGCTCTTATGGGAATGTTTTAGGTGCTATGGTCCCAGCTCATCTGAACTCAGTTTGTCCAATCAAAATCTTTGAAAAAGGAAGTTTCCTTCATGGCAGATGCACAAATGGGAAACTACATGGAAAAAAGAGCAAGTGCAAGGCAAAAACAATTAAATACGTGTTTAACATGGCCACGTTTGTCTTCTTGTTCTGCATTTAAGAAGACAGTTGAAACTCTACACCACAAACATGAACACAGAAAGTCACCTGGGGAAAGATATAGAATGCAATTGCGAAACTTAGGACCAGGAACGAACGAACGAACGAACGAACTTTATTTTCAAAGAGTCACAAATTGAGCATGCAGGTCCGTCTTACATTCAGCCCTTCCAGTCAACCATCTTTCGCACAGCAGTTGTATTTTACTAATAAAGCATGTAATGATCATATGATGATATGCATGTTATGAATATTATAAAAGAACACTAAAGCATGAGTTGTAAAGTGCATGCATTAAGCATTAAGAAACAAAATACAAAGGAAAACCTGAAAAAACTAAGTACAAAAATATATTCATTTAAAAAAAAAGAAAAAAGCAATTTTTTTTTAAAAATCAAAGAATGTTAAACATTGATCTCTGCTGAGCTCCAAACTGCTGACTGATAAAGGATGTGAATTTTTAGAGATGGGTAGTTTGATCTCCAGAGCAAGATTGATTCCACTGATAGAAATGCTAACCAGTCAGTCCTTTCTTGTCTTTTTCTCAGCTGGAGGAAACTGGCTAGTCACAACTCTACGCCAGCCTAGCCCTAGTTATTCTTACTGTCAGCAGTTTAATTCTGTTTTTGTTTGTACAGGTGAAAAGACTCACAGTTTAATGGGTGTTAGTGAGACAATGGTGGCAACCTCAGTTTTTGGCATGCTTTTCAGTCTCTTCTCTGGCCAGCCACTCCTGATCATTGGAGCCACAGGGCCAGTGTTGGTGTTTGAGGAAAGCTTGTATAAGGTAAGAGCAAATCTCTGAGAGGAAGGGAGATGTTGACCTCAACCATAGTTGTGTTGTTCTTGACAGAGCTTACTAGAACTGAAACATCTGTGGCATGATTTAATCATCTGAGGGGTGTCAGCATATGAACTGAGGGGTGTCAGCACATGAACTGAGGGGTGTCAGTACATGAACTGAGGGGTGTCAGCACATGAACTGAGGGGTGTCAGCATATGAACTGAGGGGTGTCAGCATATGAACTGAGGGGTGTCAGCATATGAACTGAGGGATGTCAGCATATGAACTGAGGGGTGTCAGCACATGAACTGAGGGGTGTCAGCACATGAACTGAGGGGTGTCAGCACATGAACTGAGGGGTGTCAGCACATGAACTGAGGGGTGTCAGTATATGAACTGAGGGGTGTCAGCACTTGAACTGAGGGGTGTCAGCACTTGAACTGAGGGGTGTCAGCACTTGAACTGAGAGGTGTCAGCACATGAACTGAGGGGTGTCAGCACATGAACTGAGGGGTGTCAGCACATGAACTGAGGGGTGTCAGCACATGAACTGAGGGGTGTCAGCACTTGAACTGAGGGGTGTCAGCACTTGAACTGAGGGGTGTCAGCACTTGAACTGAGGGGTGTCAGCACTTGAACTGAGGGGTGTCAGCACTTGAACTGAGAGGTGTCAGCACATGAACTGAGGGGTGTCAGCGCATGAACTGAGGGGTGTCAGCACATGAACTGAGGGGTGTCAGCACATGAACTGAGGGGTGTCAGCACATGAACTGAGGGGTGTCAGCGCATGAACTGAAGGGTTTCAGAGCATGAACTGAGGGGTGTCAGCGCATGAACTGAGGGGTGTCAGCACATGAACTGAAGGGTTTCAGAGCTTGAACTGAGGGGTGTCAGCACATGAACTGAGGGGTGTCAGCGCATGAACTGAGGGGTGTCAGCACATGAACTGAGGGGTGTCAGCGCATGAACTGAAGGGTTTCAGAGCATGAACTGAGGGGTGTCAGCACTTAAACTGAGGGGTGTCAGCACATGAACTGAGGGGTGTCAGCACTTAAACTGAGGGGTGTCAGCACATGAACTGAGGGGTGTCAGCACTTAAACTGAGGGGTTTCAGCAAATGAACTGAGGGTGTCATGAGGGTGTCAGCTCATGAACTGATACATGCTGTTAAAGGTCACATTGTAGTGAGGCATAATGGCCCATGCCAGTCGGCAAGGCACTTGATGATGATGATGTCTGGGTGTTGAGGTTGTCCAGATGTCAGCTTGCTGCAGACCTGGCAGCACTGTGGCCCCATCTATGTTACTAGTCAAGATGTATATTCCTTATTGATGTTCAGTGTGGCCTTCTTTTTCTGCTGATATAAAAAACATCCCCATACTCTATAGGTTTGGGTTACTACACTTGTGCCATGATGTGGATCCCTTGTAAAAACCAAACCAATACCCATATAATGGGATCCTGGGACCTACATGTGAAAAGTATCTTTCAGCTAGCATTAACATATTTGACTCGATCATGCATTTTGTATGAGTCTAAACAACATTCTGGCAGTGTCATATCCTAACCTGATCACATGCTTTGTTTTTTAAACTGTCTGAATGCATTGATTTGATTAAGTTTCTATTGTAGTATCAATATTGTTTCACCAGTTCTGTGATTCCAATGGGTTGGAGTTTCTGCCATTGCGATTCTGGATTGGGTTGTGGGTATTTGCAATCACAACTTTAGCTGTGGCATTGGAAGGGAGTTTTCTCATTCGCTACGTGACCCGTTTCACAGAGGAGATCTTTGCCATCCTGATCTCACTCATCTTTATTTATGAAGTTGTCAAGAAACTGATGCAGGTAAGTCAGTGAGTTGTTTGCTTTCACATCCCTTGATGAATGCTCTTGATGTTAACAGTTGCTGCACATTGCAAATAGATTTTCTGACCTTGGCTTTTACGCCAGGTGATGAGTCATGCACGTGTTCAAGGCAACGAGCATGCAGGTTATCTGGCAGACTGTGGTTGCTGTCACCGGCAGGTACTGAACAGTAAGGATGTCATCAAGAATATGTGACCATTGGCAAGATCAACAGTAGAATAGGGAGAGGCAGAACAAGAGAGGTGTTCACGGATGGACTGGACGGTGGCATGGAGGAATGCATCAGTGGAACTGATCCAGAGGACAAAGGACCGATATCTGTGGAGATGCCTGAACACCTATGCCACAGGGCAGGGCATGTGATGAGTATGATGATCTTGTTTCATCTTCCACAAGAAATCTTGTCCTGCTGTTGTTGGCCTTGGAACCAGCGACATCCAGGGACATACTTGTTGACCAGTCTCCTAGGGAACCAGCGACATCCAGGGACATACTTGTTGACCAGTCTCCCTGTAAACCAGGTTCACACAGTGACATACTTGTTGACAAGTCTCCCTGTAAACCAGGTTCACACAGTGACATACTTGTTGACCAGTCTCCTAGGGAACCAGGACACACAGTGACATACTTGTTGACCAGTCTCCTAGGGAACCAGGACACACAGTGACATACTTGTTGACCAGTCTCCTAGGGAACCAGGGCACACAGTGACATACTTGTTGACCAGTCTCCTAGGGAACCAGGGCACACAGTGACATACTTGTTGACCAGTCTCCTAGGGAACCAGGGCACACAGTGACATACTTGTTGACCAGTCTTCCTGGGAGCCAGGGACTTGCTTATTACATGTAGCATTGATTGATACATCTACAGAACTGTTCTTCTGTTTTCCCTCTCCCGGCTGCTACCTGAAGGCTTGACAGCCTGAGATTACAGAATCTCAGTCTTGATGGCAGACCAACCAAGCAGATCTCATGTACCCCATTCATACTCCAAAGAAGGTTACTCCACCAGGTGTCACCTTCAGTCCTGCGTGGGTAAGGGCTGTAACCTACAGTCCTGCGTGGGTAAGAGCTGTAACCTATATAGTCCCCTGTGGGTAAGGGCTGTAACCTATATAGTCCCCTGTGGGTAAGAGCTGTAACCTGCAGTCTTGCGTGGGTAAAAGCTGTAACCTATATAGTCCCCTGTGGGTAAGAGCTGTAACCTATAGTCCTGTGTGGGTAAGGGCTGTAACCTATAAAGTCCTGTGTGGGTAAGAGCTGTAACCTATATAGTCCCCTGTGGGTAAGAGCTGTAACCTATAAAGTCCTGTGTGGGTAAGAGCTGTAAGCTATATAGTCCTGTGTGGGTAAGAGCTGTAACCTATATAGTCCTGTGTGGTTAAGAGCTGTAACCTGTATAGTCCTGTGTGGGTAAGGGCTGTAACCTGCAGTTCTGTGTGGGTAAGGGCAGTTCCGTGTGGGTAAGGGCTGTAACCTTTAGTCCTGTGTGGGTAAGGGCTGTAACCTTTAGTCTTGTGTGGGTAAGGGCTGTAACCTTCAGTCCTGTGTGGGTAAGGGCAGTTCCGTGTGGGTAAGGGCTGTAACCTTTAGTCCTGTGTGGGTAAGGGCTGTAACCTTTAGTCCTGTGTGGGTAAGGGCTGTAACCTTTAGTCCTGTGTGGGTAAGGGCTGTAACCTTTAGTCCTGTGTGGGTAAGGGCTGTAACCTTTAGTCCTGTGTGGGTAAGGGCAGTTCCGTGTGGGTAAGGGCAGTCCTGTGTGGGTAAGGGCTGTAACCTTTAGTCCTGTGTGGGTAAGGGCTGTAACCTTCAGTCCTGTGTGGGTAAGGGCAGTCCTGTGTGGGTAAGGGCTGTAACCTGTGATCTTGAAGAGTAGTTAACTAGTTTATTTTTCAGACATTTTGTTTCTACTCAACAGATATTCTCTAAAAATCCACTTATGCAAGACTACTGCATCCATACCGACGGTGACCACTTATACACAAATGCCTCCCTGGTCAATGCATCCCAGTGGCTTGTTGAACCATGGAACAACACGTACATTCCAGTGGAGAACATCACAGGGGAGGAGATCTACATAGACGAGGGCTTCAACAACGGGGACCATATAGTGGAGTTCACCAATCAGCCAAATACAGCTTTGTTGTCTCTCATTTTGATCATCGGCACATTCTTGATTGCTTACTTTCTCAGGGTGTTCCGCAACAGCAAGTTTTTGGGCAGAAGTGTAAGTGTGGCTTTTGTGTTTTGCTTCTTCTGCCATTCTTCCCCCCCCCCCCTTCCCCAGCATTTTTTTTTACAAAGGATCGTAGGCCCTCAACTCACCTCAAGTTGTCTCATTTTTGTTTTCTATTACATGTAGCTCACCTCATGTCTTTTCAATCGTTTGAACTTTTCTCTGCATGGCTTCATCATTATTGATTAGTGATTAGAAAGGATTATTATCACCGCACTCCCGACAGATCAATAGGTGTTCCAATCTCCTCAAAAGCTCCACAATGTGTAAAATGACTGATTACCCCTGTTCTGTGTTGGTTAATGAAACATCTTGCCCCCTTAGTTAAATATTCATTTCTGGCAGCTTCAGGCTGCACCCCAGTGTCCATCAGCCTAGACTGGGATGTGAAGTCATGCCCTGTGGCATGCTGGTCATCACGGTAAGTGCAGAGCATGGCATTGATAACATTGCTTCTGTCCAGTGCTGGACCAGCCATATCAACCGCAGTGTCAGCAAGATCCTCTGTACACTCACTCCCTTGAACCCCACATGACCTGGCACAAAGATGAAGGTTAGGACAGCCATTCATGAAGTTCTTAGTGTTGCAATCCATTCTTGTCTGATAAAACCAGCTTGGATTTTTTTTTTTAAGCATATACATTTAGTCACTAAGTATGCACGGGTGTGTGAACCAAGCCAAGCTAATGCTCTTGTTACAGCCATAGTTTCCATTGTTAGACTGCTGGTTGTAACAGCTTCATGATTCTTCTGGAGAAGTGTCTTCTTTGTTATCACAAGCTATTGACTTGCATGCTGTGATCCATCACTTGTCTATCGTGAAGATTGCTATTGTAGTCTCCAGCCTGTAGGACTAGATTGACTGTGGACAAGTTGGGAGTCTGACCCAAAGACAGCTGTCCATTATCCACTGTAATTATTTCTACTGCAGTTCATTGCCATCATGTAGCAAGTCCTGAGTTGAAAGATGCCTTCATCACTGCCGCCAGAACAGATTTTTATTCCGTTGCTGGTTTTCTTTATCACCATGTTGATTAACAAGATGTCTTCGCTGTGTTTCTCAGAGGAACCAAAGATCTGATCACTGTGTTTTCCTCACCACTGTAGCATGTCAGAGTTGTTCAGTTTCCCAGACATGATTTGCTGCTGCGGTGCCTGTAATCAGGTGGATTGACATCCCAAGCAGAAGCCATAACGTGTTCTCCTCTCCTACAAACCAATGTTACCTCTTTTTTTTTTCCTTTTTTTCCTTCCAGGAGATACACAAATCTCTGTCATTTCATCACGTGAGTTGTGTACTATCTCCCAGTCCTTAAGAAAGAGAATAGGGGCTTTTGAGCTGAAATGCTATAAAAAGATTCTCAGAATATCTTGGGCAAAGAAGAGGAGAAATATTGACATCTTAAAAGATCTGAACATCAAAGAAGATTGGCTAATAAACAGCATCCTGTCTCGGAAGCTAAAATATTTTGGTCATATCAAGCGCCTTAACGGATTGGAAAAAGTTATAGCAGAAGACATGGTACCAGGAAGGAGGGGCAGGGGCCGGCCGACACGAAGATGGGCACAGGATATAAGTGACTCCTTGAGTATGAAAGTACATGAGGTGGGAAAACTGGCGAGAGACCGATTTTCTTTCAGGCAGAACGTGATGAGAGCAATGTTCTGCAAAGGACCTGCTACATGATTATGATGATGATGATATACCTGTGGTTATATTGTGTTATTGTTGTATCATTAAAGGTGCGTCGTGCCATCGGAGACTTTGGCGTGCTGATTTCTCTGCTGTGTATGGTGGTGCTGAGTGTGGTCATGAGTCAGACATACGTCCAGGTATGTGATCTCTTGTGCCTGTTGTTCATTTTGTACTGCTGACTTGTAGAGTTGTTCTGTTGTGATTTATTAACATTGACACTCTTCTACATCCTGTGAGGAATGCCAAGTAAAATTGACATACCTAGATTTATGTGGCATCACTAACAAATACTGACATCATTTATGTGGAAGGTAAGGGGCAAAATTACTTGATTACAGAATGACTTCATGGAAAGTTGAACAGTTAGGTTTATGAGGAAGTGGTAAGTTCAGCAAATATACCAGTTGTTGGACAGAATGACGACATACCAGTCTTTGTCTAACAAATGACACACTAATCTATGAATGACATATGGCATTCTAGTCGACAGAATAACTTGACATACTAGTCTATGGCAGAATAACATATGCCATACAAGTCTTAAGATGACATCAGATACCAGTCTGTGGGAGAATAACATATGCCATACAAGTGTTTAGAACATATGCCCTGACATCAGATACCAGTCTGTGGCAGAATAACATATGCCATACAAGTGTTTAGAACATATGCCTTGACATCAGATACCAGTCTGTGGGAGAATAACATATGCCATACAAGTGTTTAGAACATATGCCCTGACATCAGATACCAATCTGTGGGAGAATAACATATGCCATACAAGTGTTTAGAACATATGCCTTGACCTCAGATACCAGTCGTGGAACTAAACAAGACCATGCCAGGTTATTTACTAAGCATTGGATATTTGTTTCTCTTCACAGAAACTGGATATAACAGACCCGCTGACACCCACCTCACCCACTCGTGGCTGGTTCATCAACCCCATGGGAGAACACCAGACCACCCCGCTGTGGTTGGCTTTTGCTGCGGCCCTGCCTGGCTTCCTCATCTTTATTTTGTTGTTTATGGAAACCCAGATCACAGAGTCAGTGTTGTTTTGTTTATTGTTTATGGAGACCCAGATCACAGAGTCAGTGTTGTTTTGTTTATTGTTTATGGAAACCCAGATCACAGAGTCAGTGTTGTTTTGTTTATTGTTTATGGAAACCCAGATCACAGAGTCAGTGTTGTTTTGTTTATTGTTTATGGAGACCCAGATCACAGAGTCAGTGTTGTTTTGTTTATTGTTTATTTTTTATGGAAACCCAGATCACAGAGTCAGTGTTGTTTTGTTTATTGTTTATGGAAACCCAGATCACAGAGTCAGTGTTGTTTTGTTTATTGTTTATGGAAACCCAGATCACAGAGTCAGTGTTGTTTTGTTTATTGTTTATGGAAACCCAGATCACAGAGTCAGTGTTGTTTTGTTTATTGTTTATGGAGACCCAGATCACAGAGTCAGTGTTGTTTTGTTTATTGTTTATGGAAACCCAGATCACAGAGTCAGTGTTGTTTTGTTTATTGTTTATGGAAACCCAGATCACAGAGTCAGTGTTGTTTTGTTTATTGTTTATGGAGACCCAGATCACAGAGTCAGTGTTGTTTTGTTTATCATTTATTTTTTATGGAGACCCAGATCACAGAGTCAGTGTTGTTTTGTTTATCTTTATGGTTTATGGAGACCCAGATCACAGAGTATTTTTTTAATGTATTGTTTTTTTAACTCTGTCAGTTTTAATTTTTTATTTTATTAAGAAAGGCATCCTTATAATTGTCTGAAACTCTACAAATAAAACTATAGGAATAGAAAAAGGAGCAGAAAAAAAAATGTAAGTCTTGGTCTGTCCAACAATTGAACATTGTGTGTCCTATTCAGCATCAGCATCTTCTCACCAGATGCAGTGGGATTTGGTTAGTTTGCCCCAAGAGCTGCAGACTGGTAATTCTGTAATACCACTTACTTCTACTCTACACAGAAACCAGTTCATGTAGGTTTGTAGTTTATAGTTTTTATGGCTTTCCATGTGTCTGCTTCATACTGTAGTATTGATGTGAAATATGGACATGGCAGGAAATTGCATGGGAAATGGTGCGGGACTGATTGCTTCAGTCACTGGCCTCCAAAGTTAGAAGGTTGTAGTCTTGCCTCGCTGTTCTCCCTCTGACCTGAGTCATAGAAGCAGAGCTCCACCAGCAGCAGACCCGTTTGTGTCAGAGATCCAACACTGGGGTTCCTACAACAGAGATCCAACACTGGGGTTCCTACAACAGAGATCCAACACTGGGGTTCCTACAACAGAGATCCAACACTGGGGTTCCTACAACAGAGATCCAACACTGGGGTTCCTACAACAGAGATCCAACACTGGGGTTCCTACAACAGAGATCCAACACTGGGGTTCCTACAACAACCGTGTGATCCAGTAGTTAATCAACTTTAGTAACAAAGGATGACAGAGTAGACATGTTGTTTAATCTGTTGTGTTTTTCTAGAATGATTCTGAACAAGAAAGAACGGAAACTGAAGAAGGGATCTGGATATCATATTGACCAGCTGATCTTAGGCTTCCTGACTCTGATGGGAGGCCTGTTTGGCCTGCCGTGGATGTGTGCAGCAACGGTGCGTACAGTGGCTCACATCTCTGCCTTGAGTGAGTACAGTCGGACACATGCTCCAGGGGAGAAGCCTGAATTGTTGGGGGTTAAGGAGCAGCGGGTCACCAACTTTGCTGTGCATTTGCTCATTGGTAAGTAATAATTAGGAGCACAGAAGTTTGTGTGCGGGCTTTCCCTGACAGTTGTTTCAGGGGCAGCTACCCTGTGTGCATTCTTTCCCTGACAGTTGTTTCAGGGGCAACTACCCTGTGTGCATGCTTTCCCTGACAGTTGTTTCAGGGGCAACTACCCTGTGTGCATTGTTTCCCTGACAGTTGTTTCAGGGGCAACTACCCTGGGTGCATGCTTTCCCTGACATTTGTTTTAGGGGCAGCTACCCACCCACTATAGGAGTATTCCTTTTTTTTTTTTTAAATGACCAATATTGAAAATTTATAAATGGAAATAGAAAAAGAGGCAGGCCATGTTTGACGATAGACAGATGGAATAAGAGAGTCCCTGGGAACCCTCACATTTAAAACACAAACCAGTACTCTTCCAGTGTTGATACAGATTGATAACACAGGGTTCAGTGGCAGACAATGAAAGGGGATTGTTTAGCAAGGAAATCTGGCATGGGTGAGAGTGACCACTGTACCCTGTTATTTCTCACAGAGCTTCTTGGTGAAAAGGGGGCTGGGGAGAGGGGGGGGGGTGTCTTCGCCTGCAAACCGCAGGTATTGGGTTCAGATCCTCATTGGGACATATCTGTAATAAATGGCATACAACTCTCATGTTGACTCTAAAATTGCTATCAGAATATGCCCTGGGAATAAAAGGCTGAGTGCCGGTTCATCTGTTAAAATATGATTCTAGCACTGTATGCCTGAAGGGCCACTAACAGTACTTAGGATAACAGTACTTAGGATAGGTTAACTATCACAGAATGTTATCTACATCTTTTACTTGATGCTACTGACAACTTTCCGTCTTTCCAGATGACAACAGCGAGTCTGACTAGTAAAACCTGCCTATGTCCCTGAATTAATATGTCTGACATCTATTCTTGAGTCGCTAACACTACCATTCCATGATATGATGTACAATTGTCCGGGAGCTTCTGTCTCTTTTTCCATCAATCTAGTTTTTCTGTTCTCATAAAAATGATAGATACCAATATAGGCACAGAGACTGGGGAAAAATCAGTTGCAAATCGACTACTTTGGTGACAGACAGAAAGTGAAAGACTGATTGTCTCAGTCTGAAAAAAATCAAGCGCAGCAAGCTGTGGAGAGGATACACCAGAAAGAAAATCTGCCTAATAGCGTGATAGTATCTACTTCTGTGTGTATCCTGTGTGGCAGAGAGTGCTACTCCCTCATTGGACTTTACAGTCACAACAGATGATGTTCTCAAAGCCATGACACATCTCCATAGTCCCTTGTGACTGACGGATGCCATTATTATTTAAAATATATGACTTTCTCTGTATGGTATTAGTTGTTTATAAAAGTGTTTATAACGTAAAACTATATGATGGTATTAGTTGTTTATAAAAGTGTTTATAACATATAACAATATGATGGCATTACTTGTTTATAAAAGTGTTTATAACGTATAACCAAATGATGGTATTAGTTGTTTATAAAAGTGTTTACAATGTATAAACTATATGATGGTATTAGTTGTTTATAAAAGTGTTTACAATGTATAAACTATATGATGGTATTAGTTGTTTATAAAAGTGTTTACAACATATAAACTATATGGTGGTATTAGTTGTTTATAAAAGTGTTTATAGCGTATAACTATATGATGGTATTAGTTGTTTATAAAAGTGTTTACAACGTATAAACTATATGATGGTATTAGTTGTTTATAAAAGTGTTTATAACATATAAACTATATGATGGTATTAGTTGTTTATAAAAAAATTTACAAAGTATAAACTATATGGTGGTATTAGTTGTTTATAAAAGTGTTTATAACGTATAACTATATGGTGGTATTAGTTGTTTATAAAAGTGTTTATAACATATAACTATATGATGGTATTAGTTGTTTATAAAAGAGTTTACAACGTATAAACTATATGGTGGTATTAGTTGTTTATAAAAGTGTTTATAAAGTATGACTATATGTTGGTATTAGTTGTTTATAAAAGTTTTTACAAGTATAAACTATATGATGGTATTAGTTGTTTATAAAAGTGTTTATAACCTATAACTATATGATGGTATTAGTTGTTTATAAAAGTGTTTACAACATATTAACTATATGATGGTATTATTTGTTTATAAAAGTGTTTATAACGTATAAACTATATGGTGGTATTAGTTGTTTATAAAAGTGTTTATAGCGTATAACTATATGATGGTATTAGTTGTTTATAAAAGTGTTTATAACATATAAACTAAATGATGGTATTAGTTGTTTATAAAAGTGTTTATAAAGTATGACTATATGTTGGTATTAGTTGTTTATAAAAGTTTTTACAACGTATAAACTATATGATGGTATTAGTTGTTTATAAAAGTGTTTATAACCTATAACTATATGATGGTATTAGTTGTTTATAAAAGTGTTTACAACATATTAACTATATGATGGTATTATTTGTTTATAAAAGTGTTTATAACGTATAAACTATATGGTGGTATTAGTTGTTTATAAAAGTGTTTATAGCGTATAACTATATAATGGTATTAGTTGTTTATAAAAGTGTTTACAATGTATAAACTATATGGTGGTATTAGTTGTTTATAAAAGTGTTTATAACATATAAACTAAATGATGGTATTAGTTGTTTATAAAAGTGTTTACAACGTATAAACTATATGATGGTATTAGTTGTTTATAAAAGTGTTTACAACATATAAACTATATGATGGTATTAGTTGTTTATAAAAGTGTTTATAACGTATAAACTATATGGTGGTATTAGTTGTTTATAAAAGTGTTTATAGCGTATAACTATATGATGGTATTAGTTGTTTATAAAAGTGTTTACAATGTATAAACTATATGGTGGTATTAGTTGTTTATAAAAGTGTTTATAACATATAAACTATATGATGGTATTAGTTGTTTATAAAAAAAATTTACAACGTATAAACTATATGGTGGTATTAGTTGTTTATAAAAGTGTTTACAACGTATAAACTATATGATGGTATTAGTTGTTTATAAAAGTGTTTACAACATATAAACTATATGGTGGTATTAGTTGTTTATAAAAGTGTTTATAGCGTATAACTATATGATGGTATTAGTTGTTTATAAAAGTGTTTACAACGTATAAACTATATGGTGGTATTAGTTGTTTATAAAAGTGTTTATAACATATAAACTATATGATGGTATTAGTTGTTTATAAAAAAATTTACAACGTATAAACTATATGGTGGTATTAGTTGTTTATAAAAGTGTTTATAACGTATAACTATATGGTGGTATTAGTTGTTTATAAAAGTGTTTATAACGTATAACTATATGATGGTATTAGTTGTTTATAAAAGAGTTTACAACGTATAAACTATATGGTGGTATTAGTTGTTTATAAAAGTGTTTATAAAGTATGACTATATGTTGGTATTAGTTGTTTATAAAAGTTTTTACAACGTATAAACTATATGATGGTATTAGTTGTTTATAAAAGTGTTTATAACCTATAACTATATGATGGTATTTGTTGTTTATAAAAGTGTTTATAACATATGAACTATATGATGTGGTTTCAGGGCTAGCGGTCACTGCTGGTCCAGTTCTGCGAGCTGTGCCCGTCCCTGCTCTGTTTGGTATCTTCCTGTACCTAGGAGTGTCCACTCTCAGTGGGGTGCAGATGTGTGAGAGGATCAAGCTGCTGTTGATGCCAGTCAAATACCACCCCACTCTCAGTTACGTCCGCAAGGTATGTGTTGTGTGTGTGTGCTTCTGTTTGTAACATCTTTTGTAGGCTTACCACCCCACTCCCAGTTACGTCTTTAAGGTATGTATTGTGTGGGTGAGTGCTTCTGTTTGGTCATCTTCTGTAGACTTACCACCCCACTCTGTTACGTCCGCAAGGTATGTGTTGTGTGTCTGTGGGTGTGTGCTTCTGTTTGGTCATCTTCTGTAGACTTACCACCCCACTCTCAGTTACGTCAGCAAGGTATGTGTTGTGTATCTGTGGGTGTGTGCTTCTGTTTGATCATCTTCTGTAGACTTACCACCCCACTCTCAATTATATCAGGACAGCATGTGCATGTGTGCTTCTGTTTGATCATCTTCTGTAGACTTGCCACCCAACTCTCAGTTATATCAGGACAGTATGTGGGTGTGTGCTTCTGTTTGATCATCTTCTGTAGACTTACCATCCCACTCTCAGTTATATCAGGACAGTATGTGCATGTGTGCTTCTGTTTGTGTCACCTTCTGGCAGAGACATCTGGAAGAATGTGCTGCCTATTATGTGATGTGTATTTACGCAATGTCTATGTCTCTGTGCTTATGTTTACATTGTCTTCTGATAGACTTTAGAAATGTAAGTTGCTGTATGTGTGCTTTTAAGTTACGGTATGTGTGATTCTGTTTATATCCACTTCTATTTACTTAGGTATCTATCACATACATGCAGATACTTGTTGAGTCGGTTGTACTGTTTGTCTATCTTATTGCTGTGTCTGCAGTCATGATATTTGACCTAATGATTGTTTTACCTGCACGGTGCTAATGGTCTGTGTCTGCTGGTCAGGTGCGCACCATAGTGATGCACAAGTTTACCCTGATACAGCTGGCCTGCCTGATTGTTTTGATCGTGATCAAGTCCACGGCGGCCTCACTGGCTTTCCCCTTCATGCTGACCCTGTTGATACCTCTGCGGCTGAATCTGATGCCCAAGTTCTTTGACCACGCTGACCTGGAAGAGGTATGGCAGATTGTATGTTGTTGTTCATATTCTATAGTTTATAAAAATGTTGACACATCTTTGACCTCATCAAAGATGCAAACAGCAGAGAATGAAGTGTGAGAAGCAGCGACATTTAAAATCTGTTTAGTTCACCATGAATTACTGGCATCTTGAGGGCTAGGGTTGGGGCGGGGCATACAGAGAGAATGGCAGTTAACCAGATGAAAAAACTCTCTATACAAAAGAGTTTAATCGGAGTAGACTACGAAGCAGATCAAGGCCTCAGAATTCTGAAAAAGAATCAGTATTAGATGGTTTATGTAGTCAACCTCATGCCAGTCACCTTTGCTTCCCAGGACATTTCTTTGCACCCATTTTAGTCTAGAAGCCAAAATAATTTTTGTAGAAATCACCCTGGTGTCGATTTGAACCTGTGATCTTTAGGTCAACAGACAAGCATCTAACTACAGCATTACCTTTGCTCCCACATAAATGAGAGTGAGGAAGCTAGACTGCAATCAAACATGTCATGGAGCAGAATCCAGGGAGACATTTCATGGAGCAGAATCCAGGGAGACATGTCATGGAACAGAATCCAGGGAGACATTTCATGGAGCAGAATCCAGGGAGACATGTCATGGAGCAGAATCCAGGGAGATGTGTCATGGAGCAGAATCCAGGAAGACATGTCATGGAACAAAATCCAGGGAGACGTGTCATGGAGCAGAATCCAGGGAGACATGTCATGGAACAGAATCCAGGGAGACATGTCATGGAACAGAATCCAGGGAGACATTTCATGGAGCAGAATCCAGGAAGACATGTCATGGAGCAGAATCCAGGGAGACATTTCATGGAACAGAATCCAGGAAGACATGTCATGAAGCAGAATCCAGGGAGACGTGTCATGGAACAGAATCCAGGGAGACATGTCATGGAAAAGAATCCAGGGAGACATGTCATGGAGCAGAATCCAGGGAGACATGTCATGGAACAGAATCCAGGGAGACATGTCATGGAGCAGAATCCAGGGAGACATGTCATGGAGCAGAATCCAGGGAGATGTGTCATAGAACAGGAAATAATCCAGTCTGGTTTTGACTGAGAATGTGGGCCAGTAGTGCAGTGTGGGAATAAGTAGAATGTGGGTAGTAGTGCAGTGTGGGAATAAGTAGAATGTGTGTAGTAGTGCAGTGTGGGAATAAGTAGAATGTGGGTAGCAGTGCAGTGTGGGAATAAGTAGAATGTGGGCAGTAGTGCAGTGTGGGAATAAGTAGAATGTGGGTAGTAGTGCAGTGTGGGAATAAGTAGAATGTGGGTAGCAGTGCAGTGTGGGAATAAGTAGAATGTGGGTAGTAGTGCAGTGTGGGAATAAGTTGAATGTGGGTAGTAGTGCAGTGTGGGAATAAGTAGAATGTGGGCAGTAGTGCAGTGTGGGAATAAGTAGAATGTGGGTAGTAGTGCAGTGTGGGAATAAGTAGAATGTGGGTAGTAGTGCAGTGTGGGAATAAGTAGAATGTGGGCAGTAGTGCAGTGTGGGAATAAGTAGAATGTGGGTAGTAGTGCAGTGTGGGAATAAGTAGAATGTGGGTAGTAGTGCAGTGTGGGAATAAGTAGAATGTGGGTAGTAGTGCAGTGTGGGAATAAGTTGAATGTGGGTAGTAGTGCAGTGTGGGAATAAGTAGAATGTGGGTAGTAGTGCAGTGTGGGAATAAGTAGAATGTGGGTAGCAGTGCAGTGTGGGAATAAGTAGAATGTGGGCAGTAGTGCAGTGTGGGAATAAGTAGAATGTGGGTAGTAGTGCAGTGTGGGAATAAGTAGAATGTGGGTAGTAGTGCAGTGTGGGAATAAGTAGAATGTGGGTAGTAGTGCAGTGTGGGAATAAGTAGAATGTGGGTAGTAGTGCAGTGTGGGAATAAGTAGAATGTGGGTAGTAGTGCAGTGTGGGAATAAGTAGAATGTGGGCAGTAGTGCAGTGTGGGAATAAGTTGCATGTGGGTAGTAGTGCAGTGTGGGAATAAGTAGAATGTGGGTAGTAGTGCAGTGTGGGAATAAGTAGAATGTGGGCCAGTAGTACACTGTGGGAATAAGTAGAATGTGGGTAGTAGTGCAGTGTGGGAATAAGTAGAATGTGGGCAGTAGTGCAGTGTGGGAATAAGTAGAATGTGGGTAGTAGTGCAGTGTGGGAATAAGTAGAATGTGGGTAGTAGTGCAGTGTGGGAATAAGTAGAATGTGGGCAGTAGTGCAGTGTGGGAATAAGAAGAATGTGGGCAGCAGTGCAGTGTGGGAATAAGTAGAATGTGGGTAGTAGTGCAGTGTGGGAATAAGAAGAATGTGGGTAGTAGTGCAGTGTGGGAATAAGTAGAATGTGGGCAGTAGTGCAGTGTGGGAATAAGTAGAATGTGGGTAGTAGTGCAGTGTGGGAATAAGTAGAATGTGGGTAGTAGTGCAGTGTGGGAATAAGTAGAATGTGGGCAGTAGTGCAGTGTGGGAATAAGAAGAATGTGGGCAGCAGTGCAGTGTGGGAATAAGTAGAATGTGGGTAGCAGTGCAGTGTGGGAATAAGTAGAATGTGGGCAGTAGTGCAGTGTGTGAATAAGTAGAATGTGGGCAGTAGTGCAGTGTGGGAATAAGTAGAATGTGGGTAGTAGTGCAGTGTGGGAATAAGTAGAATGTGGGTAGTAGTGCAGTGTGGGAATAAGTAGAATGTGGGCAGTAGTGCAGTGTGGGAATAAGAAGAATGTGGGCAGCAGTGCAGTGTGGGAATAAGTAGAATGTGGGTAGCAGTGCAGTGTGGGAATAAGAAGAATGTGGGTAGTAGTGCAGTGTGGGAATAAGTAGAATGTGGGCAGTAGTGCAGTGTGGGAATAAGTAGAATGTGGGTAGTAGTGCAGTGTGGGAATAAGTAGAATGTTTGTTGTAGTGCAGTGTGGGAATAAGTAGAATGTGGGTAGCAGTGCAGTGTGGGAATAAGTAGAATGTGGGCCAGTAGTGCAGTGTGGGAATAAGTAGAATGTGGGCAGCAGTGCAGTGTGGGAATAAGTAGAATGTAGGTAGCAGTGCAGTGTGGGAATAAGTAGAATGTTTGTTGTAGTGCAGTGTGGGAATAAGTAGAATGTGGGCCAGTAGTGCAGTGTGGGAATAAGTAGAATGTGGGTAGTAGTGCAGTGTGGGAATAAGTAGAATGTGGGCCAGTAGTGCAGTGTGGGAATAAGTAGAATGTGGGCCAGTAGTGCAGTGTGGGAATAAGTAGAATGTGGGTAGCAGTGCAGTGTGAGAATAAGTAGAATGTGGGCAGTAGTGCAGTGTGGGAATAAGTAGAATGTGGGCCAGTAGTGCAGTGTAGGAATAAGTAGAATGTGGGCCAGTAGTGCAGTGTGGGAATAAGTAGAATGTGTGCCAGTAGTGCAGTGTGGGAATAAGTAGAATGTGGGTAGCAGTGCAGTGTGAGAATAAGTAGAATGTGGGCAGTAGTGCAGTGTGGGAATAAGTAGAATGTGGGCCAGTAGTGCAGTGTGGGAATAAGTAGAATGTGGGTAGTAGTGCAGTGTGAGAATAAGTAGAATGTGGGCAGTAGTGCAGTGTGAGAATAAGTAGAATGTGGGTAGTAGTGCAGTGTGAGAATAAGTAGAATGTGGGTAGTAGTGCAGTGTGAGAATAAGTAGAATGTGGGTAGCAGTGCAGTGTGGGAATAAGTAGAATGTGGGTAGTAGTGCAGTGTGGGAATAAGTAGAATGTGGGCCAGTAGTGCAGTGTGGGAATAAGTAGAATGTGGGCCAGTAGTGCAGTGTGGGAATAAATAGAATGTGGGTAGTAGTGCAGTGTGGGAATAAGTAGAATGTGGGCCAGTAGTACACTGTGGGAATAAGTAGAATGTGGGCAGCAGTGCAGTGTGGGAATAAGTAGAATGTGGGTAGCAGTGCAGTGTGGGAATAAGAAGAATGTGGGCAGTAGTGCAGTGTGGGAATAAGTAGAATGTGGGCAGTAGTGCAGTGTGGGAATAAGTAGAATGTGGGTAGTAGTGCAGTGTGGGAATAAGTAGAATGTGGGCAGTAGTGCAGTGTGGGAATAAGTAGAATGTGGGCAGTAGTGCAGTGTGGGAATAAGTAGAATATGGGCAGCAGTGCAGTGTGGGAATAAGTAGAATGTGGGTAGTAGTGCAGTGTGGGAATAAGTAGAATGTGGGCAGTAGTGCAGTGTGGGAATAAGTAGAATGTGGGCAGTAGTTCAGTGTGGGAATAAGTAGAATGTGGGCAGTAGTGCAGTGTGGGAATAAGTTCAGTTATAAGTAAAACAGTTGGAAGGATCAGCTTCATTGCAGCAGGTTTTATCTTGTATGGCTCATTCTCTCTAAATAATGACAAACTGTTTGATGAGAGTGTCACCCAGAGCATGAACTCCGTAGCTTCAATGACTATCTCCAAAGAATTTCACCCTAGAATCGAACAGCACGGCTGGCAAATGAACCCATGACCTTCAGAGTGCAAGGCAAGCAGTTTAATGATTTCCAGCAGAGTTGAAGCAAAGTTGCCAGCGATGTCTTTGGAGAGGACGGTTTCATAGTTTGTAATGATACCTGAGTGCAGTGAAATGACATTAGGGATGCACAGCAAGGTGGGAGGGTTGGCCGATGGCAGGACAGAGTAAGACACGTTATGTTCTGTAGGACAGTTGTGAATGCAGTTGCTGCTGACAAATAAAAGCTGTTATTTTGTAATATTCCAACAGTTGGACAACGAAGAGGAGGAGTTTGAGCTGGATGAAGAGGATGATCCTGACTTCTACCAGCAAGCTCACATGCCCATCTAAACCTGCCTGTCAGAACCTGCTGGACAGAACCTGCCAATCTAAACCTGCCTCACAGACACCATCCTCCATGTCAGGCAACCACTACCTCTATCATCATGAAGCATGACCTTTGTAGAAGGTCACTTGTATCAAGACCTGCTCGAAAGGCTATATTTCTCCAGTTCTGCCTCCTCCTGTGCTCCCATGCTCTGGTCTTTGACTCTCCAAGACCCACTTGTTACTTCTGCTTGCTCTGTCCAAACTATGTTTACTAGAAGCTATTCTGTGGCTGACGGTTTGGCAATAAAAACTATGGCACACAAGAAATTCTTCTTCTGCTTTCACACTTAACATGGTGGTTGATACATTCTCTTGTGATTTTAAGCTAGGCTGTGATATCTGGCCTCTTTCAGCCTAACACATGTCAAACTACCTTTACTGTCTGTGTTTAAGATTTGGTGAAGTAAGTAAGAAACCATTCACCTGTTGGGTTGACATCTGAAAAGTGGCTCATTGAGTCACTGAGTGTCACATCTTCAGAATGCAGTCCCGAGGGGAATACAGTGAAAAATAAAACAGCAACAGATAATTACCACTGTCTTACTAAGCCTGCCATAAACATGTCACAACTCACAGCCAGTTTGTGTCATAATTTAGTTTCCAAAAGCAGGAAATCAATGAGCTCACCTGTACACAGCTCACCTGTACACAGCTCACCTGTACACAGCTCACCTGTACACAGCTCACCTGTACACATCATGGTGACTGCCTTAGCAAATGAGTCAATCTCATCCTCCAGCAGTCCTCCCGTCAGAAGGCTAGATTTATACAGTAATGAAAATGTTATTTGTCAAACTGGGCTGACCCAGCACACATATCAAGTACTCTCCGCCAAGTCTGTGGTGACAGTAGCATGGAGTTTTCTCTGTTGTTAGCAGCCGCTGTTGGTTTTTAACAAACACCTCCTCATTGCTAATAGTGCATATCTTTGATTTGTTTTCTAATTTTTTAACAAAGTTATATATCATTGCTAACTGTGTTATTGTTATCAGTTATGACCATTGTTAACAGATGTTTTTGTTGTTAACAAAGTATTTATTATTAACTAAAAAAAAAATATGTAATTGTTAACAAAACTGAAGACATTATTATAACAATTATGCATTAATTTGTTATCAAAGTATGTGGCTGTTGATACAGTTGTTTTTGTTTCTACCAAAAACTTTCTTATTGTTCACAAACTCGGTCATTTCTGACTGATATGACTAATGTTAACAAATGTTTTATTGTCATTAACAAAGTATTTGTTAATGCTAATTGTTTTGATTGTTAACAGAACTGTGGACATTGTTAACACTGTTGTTTCTTTGCTGCCAGAGTATGTGACTGTTTATGAAGATTTGTTCCATACCAAAAAATGTTATCAAACTGTGTCACTGCTATTGGTCATCTTCATTGTCAACAAATGTTTTGTTATTGTTAACAAAGTATTTATCACTGTTAACAAACTTTTGTCATTATAAAAATATGTCATGATTGACACATTGGTTTCATATTGTTTCGCAGTCATTAAGACAGAATTTATTGTTAACACAGATTTATTTAATCACAGATTTTCTCATTGCTGATAAAATAATGTTCTTAGTGTTATAATTCATTAACAATTGGGTTTTATATTTATCATTGTTTATAGAATCCTGAACATGCTGTTAAAAAGTATCTTTATCATTGCAAACGACTTGCACAAATATAATGCATTTTTTTTGGGAGAGAGAGAGAAAGAAAGAAAGAAAGAAAGAAAGAAAGAAAGAAAGAAAGAAAGAATGGCTAGAGGTATTGAGTTTTGTGTCTTCTTTTTATGTATCCCCCCAAAAAATAAGGTCCACTTACAAAAACACCCAGGTCCACATACAAGATCACCTAGGTCCACATACAAGAACATCCAGGTCCACATACAAGAACATCCAGGTCCACATACAAGAACATCCAGGTCCACATACAAGAACACCCGGGTCCACATACAAGAACACCCAGGTCTACACAAGAACCACAACAGCCAGTGGGGCTTCTAGACACTTGACCTCTGCCTACCGTATCAGACAATGTATACATTCCATTTGGGCTACCTGTTTTTTTTTTTTAATGAGCCATTTATCTGAATGAATATTTTAGTTATGTCCTGTGGTTTCATGATTATATGCCAGACTGGTTGGTCAGTTTTTTTTTTCATCTACTAATCAAGTTTTAATATTCATTGTTTCACGTCCATTTGGATGTTACACATAAGTTGATGACGAATATTTGGAAATTATCATGAGAACAAACAAAACAAACCTGTGATGACAATAAGTGATAGACATTTACATCCAGTGATTGCCAGTTGACATTCTGGATTCTCATTGTTGAAAAGTTCAATGTTCATATGTTGTATAGTATATGGTGCTAGCAGTTATTGAGGATCACACTATGTTTAGTGAGAAGTGTTTGCCTACTAATGTTGGCTGATTCATAATATCTGTAAAATAAGGGGTGAGTCTTAGTTGAATCATATCGGTGGAGTGGTGGATGTTAGCTTACTCATATCAGTGGAGAGTGGATGTTAGCTGACTCATATCAGTGGAGTGGTAGATGTTAGCTTACTCATATCTGTGGAGGGGTGGATGTTAGCTGACTCATATCAGTGGAGTGGTAGATGTTAGCTTACTCATATCTGTGGAGGGGTGGATGTTAGCTGACTCATATCAGTGGAGTGGTAGATGTTAGCTGACTCATATCTGTGGAGGGGTAGATGTTAGCTGACTCATATCAAAGGAGTGGTGGATGTTATCTGACTCATAAAGGGTGGATGTGGGTGAAGGGTGGATGTGGGTGAAGGGTGGATGTGGGTGAAGGGTGGATGTGGGTGAAGGGTGGATGTTAGCTCAAAGTGGCAGCAGATTTGCTTCACCTGCCCACAAGTTTGTCCTGTCTCTGTGGGATGTACAATAAACGTGGACTGACCTGCTGCAGAACCTTCTGTGATGAATTGCTTCCATTCATGTTCTCATTGACTGCTTATTACACGAGTGTATATGTCATCAGTGTGGGAGGGAGCTAGGAGGAATGTTGCTTGTGCTGACACAGTGATTGCTGCTTCTACCCTGGACCTGTGGTCAACTGAGATATGCAAGGCTGAAGAAGAAGAATTCTACCCTGTTGACTCATGAATTTATAACATTTGATTTGTAATGGCTAAATAGGATAAAATGTCTCCTACGCTTCTTTAGCTTTGAGTGGTTATTGTAGGTGTCTGACCTTTGGCAAGTCATTGAGTGACTGTTTTGCTAAATGATAAACAGACCGATATTTATTGATTAGGCAGAGGAAGGATTCAGAGACAGGAAGACACAGTAGACAGCATGAAACATCAAAAGCTTTAGTTACCTAACAGGACTGCACTCTTGAATCCTGAAACTAATGAGACTGACGTCCAGAAAAGACATGTTCTTCCAGAAGTGGTCAACTAGACAATTGCTGGTAACTGTGGCCTGTGGCTGACATCTTGTCTGGTCTGTCCTCCTGTTTCTGCCGCATTCTTCTGAGCCTGTGAGTGCCATGCAGTAGATGACCTTGTGTTTAATCAGACTGTTTCTGTGGCCTCAAGGGTTCGCAAGCTATTTATTTCTGTCTGTTATTTGTGCTGATTGTTGATGTGTCACTGGAAGCAGCATACCTTTGTCCATTGCTTGCGTTAGTTTGTTACTTTATTATATTGCTGTTTGAGTATATTTATTCCACAACTAGAATTCCAGTAAATTTGTTTTGTGGATCGAGTTCTCTTCCACCCAGGGCTATGGAGGTGCCTTAACCCTTTGGTTCGTGGATCCAGTTCTCTTCCACCCAGGGCTATGGAGGTGCCTTAACACTTTGTTTTATTTTTGTATAGCCGGCTCTCTATGATTTCATTGTCTCAGCCAGTGTCAGTGAAATACCTCATGTGGCTTTCATGGCGGTAGGTAGGTGGAATATGGTTGTGTAGAGAGTAATATGTAAACCGGTGCAGCAGATGTTGATGGAACATGGTTCTGTTTAGTGAATGTTTTTTACAATTCCCAGATCTTCCAGTTCAATTTTTGTTTTCTGTAAATGGCCCCTTCTGGTGGCTTCTGGGTAGTTCTAAGAGAGTTGTGCCATGAAATATTCCCACACACAGTGAAGAGGGAGCACTATAGCGAGCCTTGATTGTGGAGACAACACACATGCGAAAGAATGCAAATATGAGACAAGTGTTGGTTAGGAACTAGTCACAAGGAATATTAGCATTAGCAGTTGACCACTAGAAGATGCTCAGAAAATGTTACATTGGACATCACCTGTGAGTTGCCTAGTAAATATTTGTTTTTTAAATACTGGCTTTGTTTGACTGTCCTACCTGAGAACTTGTATTTGTGTGTTGTCTGTGATAGACATGTTTTCCCAAATGAAACAACATCCATTCGAATTTCAGCTCTGTGACACTCCAAACGCCTGATAGTCAGTGTGTTTGTGAGGCAAGAATAAGGGCTAGCTTGTGCTATGGTAGTGTGATAGTCAGTGTGTCTGTGAGGCAAGAATAAGGGCTAGCTTGTGCTATGGTAGTGTGATAGTGTGTCTGTGAGGCAAGAATGAGGGCTAGCTTGTGCTATGGTAGTGTGATAGTCAGTGTGTCTGTGAGGCAAGAATGAGGGCTAGCTTGTGCTATGGTAGTGTGATAGTGTGTCTATGAGGCAAGAATGAGGGCTAGCTTGTGCTATGGTAGTGTGATAGTGTGTCTGTGAGGCAAGAATGAGGGCTAGCTTGTGCTATGGTAGTGTGATAGTGTGTTTGTGAGGCAAGAATGAGGGCTAGCTTGTGCTATGGTAGTGTAATAGTCAGTGTGTCTGTGAGGCAAGAATAAGGGCTAGCTTGTGCTATGGTAGTGTGATAGTCAGTGTGTCTGTGAGGCAAGAATAAGGGCTAGCTTGTGCTATGGTAGTGTGATAGTGTGTCTGTGAGGCAAGAAT